AACATATTTAACTAAGCATGATGTCCTTCTCGAGTTTAGTGCTTCTGTTCTATGTCCTTGTTTGCTGTATGCTTAGGGTCTTAAAGCTTGCAAGCAGCTTTCCAGAAACACTGTTTGGTCTCTATTCACCGGGAACAGCAGAGGAAGAAAGAGTGTACAGAGAGGAGGAGGATACAGAATGTGTGGTTAATTTCTTCCTGTAAAAATGACCTCCTGTGCCAAGAGACCCGAAGAACTGGAGGATGCCCAGCTACCATAAGGGAACATGTCGGTGATGTTCCACTAAGGACTCCTGATCCAAAGATGAGAAAGCAAAACAGAATTTCAAAGTCTCTATCTAAGCTTCGGGAGCCATGGAAAACTAAGGACCCCTGAAACCAAAGACCTGCTGCTTTTTAAACCTTAGAACCAAACACATCCCTAAAGTCACCTAAAAACCAACCATGACTAAAAGGGTCTTCCTTGAGCACTAAGCTCTTTTAAGATCTACTTGCATGGGGTCAAAATGACAACAGCAACTTGAAGCATTAGATAGAAAAGTTGGAGCCAACGAGTGTATGTTCAAGAGGAAAGTTCCACCCAGAAAGGAAGGTGAGACTGGTTACATAACTCAGAGAAGATGATCCATGTCATGAAACTGTAACATGTCGAGGTACATTTCCTGTGTATGTGTTCAACGTCAATGTAATTTAAGAGGAAAGGTGACTAACAAATGGTGAAATAGAAGAAATGAATAATCACAGTAGAAAGATAGAGCAATTTCCCTCTTACTCATCCCTGAAAAGGCAGTAGGTTCAACAAGCCTTGTCATCGTATTGTTGAGATGAGAACTATCGATGCCTCAACAGATTCCAAATAGGAACCAGAATTGAAAAAAGGTTGAAAACTCATACTTTCAAAAAAGGCTTGACAGATGAATAAGGAAATTAAAGATCCCTTTCTAAAAGTAAATGGAAGCATGCTTCACTGATTTCCTTTAAAGGAGAAAATTGAGGACTTCATTTCTTCTATTAAAATGTATTCCAGAGCCTCCAGCTGGTACAGGTTGAAGGCTACCCAGGTACAGTTTCTGAAAAGGAAGACAAAGCACTCCGTTTATAAGTAATTCTGAAAAAAATATATGAGTATTCACTGACTGTCTTAATACAAAAAAGAATCGAGACCCGAGTATTTTGATAATGGGATAAATATCAACGTACTAACCCTCCCTTTTCTACTGCTTGTCTGTCTGCTGTACGGTGCTGACCTGCATATTACTGCGAAGCTATGCCACCCATACTCCAAATACAGTAGGGTCACTCATTCTGGACAGCTTTCAGCAGAGCTCCCAGACCAAGGCATACCTCTGAAGCAGTACTTTTGAATGATGAGACTGGGGAAGAATGTTAAATGTACCATGCATGGCCAGAAGAGCAAGCCAATCTGTGTGGGAAGGAGCACAGGCAGAGTGCTCGCCAGCACTGCGATCCGTGAGTATGCTCATGCGCATGGAACGTATTACCAGGAAGGACCAGTCCCTGGTAAAGGACATCATCGTGGTAAACTAGGGGGTGAATAGGAAAAGGAAGAATGTCCCAGTGGTTCAAACAATGGGCTCAAGCAAGGCAACAACTATGAATGTGGCACAAAGCCAGGACTTGTTCTGTTTTTAAGGGTTGCTTTATGATGCACCAACTCATTAGCACCTAACAAAACAATGTTCACTTTGAAGAACAGAACGAGAAAAAAAATACTTACACTTCTTCCACTGAAACAAAAGGAATCAGAACTGAGTTATACACTTGGTTGTGCCAAACCACATGACTTCACTAAATACTAGTCTACATCTCTCAGCGAACCTCCTCAAGGGCGCCTCGTCCAGCTGGGCCGACTCTACCTATCACAACGATGGCCATTAGAACCTAGTGGAATACTTGGGACGCAGTGCATTGACACAGGGCCTGATGTAAATGTTAACCTCCAGGCTGCATCAAACATTTAAAACTCAGTCACAATTCTGCTGCAGTATTTAATAGCGAATGAACAGCCTTGAGCTCCCATCCTTGAGTTTACTGTAGGATAAATGAACTTCTTTTGGACAAGCAGATTAAATATAAAATACACTCTTTTTAAATTTTTCTTTGTAAATGAAGGTATATTGGAAACTTGCAACAAATTTGAATCCCCCCAAAATAGAATAACTAATAACCAACTCCATATTTTCATACAATATTTCCAGATAGGACTCTCTCATGGGGGAGTATAATAGCTCTTGGCCACAAGAGGGAGCTAAAAAGTTGGTCCACATAGTTTAAGAAAGGTATCTGCTACTATACTTTCTGCTACAGACCAGTTTCTTATCCTCAAGTTAAGCCTTATTTATAGATTTTTTTTTCACCTTTACTTAAAAGTCCTATTTCTTCCCTGGGTAACATCGATTTGACATAGGCTATGACATAGCAGCTGTTTTCTGATTATCAGCACAATACTGCAATTATATTTACAATAAATAGTGTTTTGGCTTTTTTTCTAGCATACTTAGAAAATATTACATATTACAAATCACAACATAATAACATAATAAAGCAACAAGTTACGTAGCCATCAACAAAACGTGTTCCAAGTATTTCTAATCTAGGCCCTTCCCATAAAACCTACTTACAATACTTTTTGTATAAAACTTTTTTTTTGAAGATACACTTTATAAAGAATAAGTGCCAGTGTATAAATGACATTATGCTTAACACAAATGGATACTGATGACAAAGTAAGTGGAAGAAAATTTATAAATATTTTTAAATAAGCTATTTATTGTCCTAAAAAAGGTTAAGTGTACAAACAAATCATTACCATAGGAAACAAGTACTAGGAAATGTGTCTCACTAAGTTTCCTTCATTGGATTTAGTTGTATGCCCCCAAAATATGTGTTGAAAACCATAACTTGGATATCTGTGATTAGAATCCCATTTGGAAAGGGGCTGTCTTTGATGGGTTAGTAAATCAGGATTAGTGTAAGGTGTTTCCTGAGTCATGCTCTTGTTGAGATATAAAAGAAATTAAATAAGCCGGTGAGTGAGCCACAGTGGGGTAAGAGAGAGGCCAGGACACAGGCTGCGCTCCAAGGAAGCAGGCAGCCAACGCTGAAGAGACAAAGGACTTCCCCAAAACAGATTCAAGGAAAGCCCTCCCCGGGGGCCGGCTCCCTGAATTCCTCCACTGGCCTCCTGGCCTCCGACAATGGGGGAAAATGAATTTCTGTTCACGGAAGCGAACTAGGTTTGGTATTTCTCTCACCGCAGCTGGAATTCACCAAGACACCTCCACATCAAATTCGATTTTAGTCACTTTTAAATTCGGGAAACATTAACTTACATGTAATTAAAATTTCTTAACTGTTATCTACTCAGAAAATAGCATTCTGGACATACAAAGTATGTGAATAACTTGGCTAGATTTAATGGGAATTGGAATTCTGGTTCCAATTTATAGCACTGTCAGACCACAATAAGTAACTTCCTAACAATACAATTTAATTAAATAAGATTACTTGAGTATTTTTTTAGTTGACATATACTCACTGCCATAGAGTCAATCCCAACACTCAGCAACTCCGCAGGACAAAACAGAATTACTCGCTAGGGTTTCTGACGGTTGTAAATATTTATGGACGCAAATAGCCTCATCTTTTTTCCATCGGGATCTGGGGACATGGAGTGATTATCCATTGGGCAACTAACCTCAAGGCAAGCTGTTCAAAACCAGTCACTGCACGGGAGAAAGAGGAAGCTTCCTACTCAGAGTCACACTCTCAGAAACCCAGAGGGTAGTTACACCCTTTCAGAAGCAACTCAACAGCACTGCGTTTGTTCTTCTTTCTTCCCACGGCGCAGCTGATTGGCTCATACTGCTGCCTCCTAACCCATCCTACCGCCAGGGCGCCAGGTGCAATATGCGCGTGTAAAAATGTAACTTCTTTCTTTTTGCCACACATTTCAATAAACCACAGATTCTGGTAGTGTTCTCCTCTGTGTAAGTAACCGAGTCCTGGGTTGATGGACAATAAATCGACAGTGCTTATGTTCTTAATAGCATCTATAATTTGTGAGAAGAGGAAAAAATGCTAAGTTGAAATGGCTTTTATCTTCAATTTATTGTGACTTAATAGTTAGCTTAATCATCCCGGGTTCTAATGAGATCACATTGAGTCAAGAGAATAAAACTTATTAGAACCTAAATGTACATATTTTTAACTTGTAGCAGAAGGCAAGTACAGTGAACTCAAATTGTCAACCTAGTGATATTTTTTCAGGTCACAAAATAAGAGCAGCTTGGTATATGCAAGCCTAGTACAGTCCAGTGGAACAGTCGTCCACAGACTCTACGTTCTTGAGTTCAAATTCCAGCTCTTCCTAATAGCAGTGTGAACATGGATATACCACTCGTCCCTAAAATGCAAATGCTATGGTACAATTCTCATGAAAAAGTCACCCTGGTCGCACAATGGATGAAGCGTTGAGTTGCTAAGAGAAAAGTAGGCGATTCTAACCTACTACCAGTTGTTCTAGGGAAGAAGAGGAGGCTGTCTGGTTCCATTAAGACTGATCGCCTAGGGACACTGGGGAGCAGCTCTACTCTGTCCAGCCGGGCTGTGAGCTGGAACCGACTCAATGGCAGTGAGTAAATCTCAGGAAATTCATCAAATATTTAAGTTATATGACTACCTGTCTATCTATTTATAGATATAAATTAGGCCAGTTTAGAGCATCTTTATTTTAATTTTAATGACATAAATTGAAACCCTCATGTGAATTCAGGTAAGCTACTTTTTAATGGAAAATTATCTTGATTCTGGATTGAGTTCCGGGGTTAAGAAAAGTACCTCACGGTATTCCAGTTCTTACAGTCCTATCCCGCCAGTGCTTAATTCTTAAATATATTTATATACATTTAGCTCTCCAGGAGAATAAATCCAAAGCAGTCAGAACATACCAATAATAAAAATAAACACAAGAACGCATACCTGGGTAATCTTCAGATACATGTACTGAGTAGGACACACTGTTAAAAGAGGAGGAAAAGATTCAAGTTACTAGTTATAGATATGCTTTTAGAAAATAAAACCTAACGCAATGTTACCCATTCATTTATAAATATGTAAACATAAATAAATAACAGCCCAAACAGATGAGAAACTTCTGTGATATTTGAAGTATGAAACACAGACGTGGATGACGTTCACATTCAATGAGTCTGAATGCCTTCCTGGAACAGGTTTGTTCTAGGTGATGTTTCCAGTACAAAGTCTTTTTAATGGAGTGACGTCTACTCTCCTTGAATTCATAGTCATTTTTGTTGTTTGCTCAGATTCTATTAAATGAGTTTTTCTTAAACGCTCTCCTCAAAAATACACATTCTTTTTAATTGAGTCTGCCACTCAAACATTTATATATTTGTTTTAAGCATGGCCTCCTCTAAAAATGCTGTGTGGTACAGCACTGATGAGCCACATACCTATCCTCCCGTTCACTAATATTTCCTCCCCTTACTATTATGGTTTTTATTTGTTTTACCTCATTCATTATGTCAGATTTGCATAAGTTCATTTGTTATATGTAAGATGGTTCCGTACATGAAAGCCAAGATAGATAACCCTTCAGGACAGTAACAGGAGTAATGTTCCCAGAGGGTACTGAAAGAACAGGGAGCAGATAGCATTGATGAGTGTATAACCACACTCAATGGGATCGAACAACAGAATTGTAAGTGAATGGATATATTGGATTGTGTAAGATACGGCAGGAAAAAAACTATAAGGGAGAAAAGGGAGTTCGTGGGGGGTAAGTTGAAGGAGGGAGGCAGGGAGGGGATAAAGGGAGTTGATATCAAAGAACTTAAGAAGAAAGAAAATGTTTTGAAACTGATTGTGGTAGCAATTGTACAATGTTGCAAGATGTGATTGAACTATGGAGTGTTATGATAGCTATAAGAGCTCCCAATGAAATGATTACAAACTTTAAAAAAATAATTAAATAAATAAATGTGCTGTGCTTAAAAGTCATTATCTTTAAATAATTAACAAAATATGAGGACTGCCAGAATTACTTTTCATCTATCTTTCATTACTACAAATGTTATGTTTGTGTGCATGTGCACAGTTCCACTGGTTTCCTGGCTTGACTTCCTCTTATAACATTAAGGCTTAAGTTCCTGAAAAGTATCTTTTAAGTCTTACTCTGTGAGTGTAACTGCAAGACGATGGAGCCATGAAGTGCAGGTCAAGTTTGCAGGGCCCCATTAATCAAATCTTTGGCTGCTTATTAGTCTTTGGAGAAAAATTAGACACAACATGGATTGGGGATGGATAATAGATGATGAAAAATAAAAAAGCCGTTGACAACAAGGCTAGGCATTGGCTTAATGCTCATTCCTAAAGCATACTTAATTGTTCAATTATTAATTCAAAAAGCAGTCCTTGATAGCCTAGTATCTGCCAAACATCGGGGCAATGACAAATAAGGGTTAAATTTAAAAAAATTACAGGATAGGTCTTTGGAGGATTCATTCTGAGGAAAACAAAATGTTAAATATACAGAATATCAAGGAACTATATGTGACCTCCTCCCTGGGGGACAGACAACCGAAAAGTGGGTGAAGGGAGACGTCAGACAGGGCAAGATATGACAAAA